TTTTCTTTCTTCAAATTGCAGTTTGAAATGAATTACACTGCCTACCTCCAGGAAGTCTTTAGGGGCATATACAGGCCTGACGCTCGTTAAATCTGTAGAGACACAATGACGTTAACGCATCTCTGCAATACATTACTGTAAAAAGGACACTTTGTAAGTGGTACTTCCACACAGTGTTTACATGTGCTATTCCAGAAGAGGTTTAGCAGCTGTTAAACCTAGACTACACAAAAGAATCCAACCATTAGGTCCATGTAGTCAACTTGAACTTGCACATAGTTCAGCATGCATTTGTGACTCAACTACTCAAGTCAAAAGGACAGCACAGGAAAGCTGAGGCACACTCATCCCGCTCTAAGTGGGACTTCTTCGGAGCGTGGCAGTAAATGTAAGTGCTGTGTCATCCCCCAGAATGAGGGCATGTTAAGGTTTGGACGGAAGGAGGGGTGCTGCGTGTTATCTCCGTCCGAGGAGTCTGGACAGTTTCTATACTCGCAGTCCAAAGTGTTTATAGTCGGGGGACGGCACATCCTAAATGTTATTATATGAGCAGTGAGCTGTGATAGCATTGTTAGGAAACAGGGTTACCGTGTTCTCTCCAAATGTGCCGGCTTGAAGTGCAAATGGTTTGGTTCATTGAGAGGTTTTCACAGTGAGAGCTTAGATGTGTCTGAGACAAAATGCTCAATAATACTAAATATTTAAGCTGGGAGGACGACAATGACATTATGCACGGAAGCAGCTAGGGGGCTAATAATAAGTGGTGTGATTCATGGCAGCACGGAGGATGTGGTTTTGACCTTCGAGGCCAGTGGAGACAGAACACCAGAATATATAATATCCCAGTGATGCAGACTGCAAAATAAATGATTTTTTTAAACCAAAGAAACGCAATGTGGGTTGGTGAACTATCCAAATCGCAGTAAGGGCATGTTTTGTTAAGGCAAATTGTGTGAGAATATCATTCAGAATGAAATGGTGTGGTGCCGCAGAGAAGCTTATACATGGTAACCTACAGACAAAAACAAATCTCCTTATTTGTTGCAGACATTTTTAGAATATCCACAAAAAAAAATGTAAATGTGTTTTTCAATTATAATGTGAATAATTTTAAAATGACCGCAAATATTATCATTGTTGCAATATCAGTTAAAAAATAATCGCAGTTGATTATTTTATTTTTTTATATCATGCTGCCTTAATCTCCTCTCGGTGAATACTGGTTACAAAGGGAAACATTGCAGTGGTTTAAAGACGTGTTAATCTGATGCTAAATACAGCAGCGTCTGACTGATGCTCCAGCGCACAGACGCATCAACACTAATCTTTCATAAAAGGCAGATTGCTCAGGGCCAAACCCCTGGGTAACGTCTGCAGACCTGGTTCATCCGTGCCCATCTCGTTCCATTTGTTGCTCAGCTCCTTCTGCTCCGCTGCGGGCCTCTGGGGAGTGGGCGGGAAAGAGAGGATCTCAGCAAACAAAACACAAGTTGAAAATGTCACATCGGAGTAACGTGCTCATACATAAGAACACAGAGGCAAGTAATAAAAAGACTCAGGATCAGTCTAGCTACAGAAGCATTGCTATACAGGTTTAAGATGCAGTTGTTATTGTACAATATTTGAGCTACCATGCGAGCCAGAGGCACTCCGAGCTCTGTGCTCATGCTGTTCAGGCTTTTGAGGACACGCTTCTCCCAGCTCGCCTGTGGAAGAGAGCACACACACACACATTCAGAAACACTGGGCTTCAGACACCAAGAGGAGAGGCTGCGTCTTTGATATCAGCAGGAGAAAGGACATGTTGAGGAAGAGGGAGTGATGCAGATAAGAGGAGACAGGCTGACCTGAGCTTTGCGCATGTAAGCGAGCGGCTCTTTGAGATGTTCAGGAGGGGCAGCCGGGTGGCTGGGGGGCAACTGGCTAGAGTAAACAAACCGGGAGGGGGCGAAGAGTGTAAAAGCAGAACATTTCATTGAGTTAATACATAAGATGCCACAGGTAAGGTGTCAAACAAAAAGGTAGAAAACATTACCTTTAAAACAGGCACCATTAGCGCCCGGCTCAATAGGCTCGGATGAGTCATCTCCAGTCTTTCCCCCTCTAAGCATGCTTTAGTTTATTGAATGACTCAAGGTCTTAGAGCATTAAACAACCTTAAACCTAACCACCGATAAGAGCACATATGGCTGACTAATGGCCAAAAGGACGAGGCATTAGTCAAAGTCATATGTCATCCTTTAAAAGCAAAGCATTAGGAGTGCTAACTCTCAGTCTGAGCCTCAAGAGAGCGACGAGTGCTTGTTGCCCTCAAAAGGTAAAGGAGAGCAGTCGAGGAACACTTTTCAAAGCTGTTTATTCCAGTTTAAAGAGTTTTCCGGCTCAATTGCTCTAATAAAGATTATGAAAGGGAACTAAAAGGCCATAAATCTGGATTATTGTGGAGTACTAAACTTGTTTTACAATCTCTTATCGACATAATTCCAGTGTTTGTTTGCCAAAATAGCCGAGTGATGCGAGTAATGACGCTAATAATACTGATGGGAAATGAGAAAATAACAAATTGAGGTCAAAATATGTGCACAAAAATGTGCACTTTGCAACCAAATGATCTACTTTAATCATAACTGTAAACGAACAGCATGTTTACCCAGTGAGCTCTATCCTAATCTTACACTAGTGAGATGCTTGGCAATTAAAATGCATGCTGCCAGCACACCGATCATAAAAACCACAATCAGATGGAGAAAATCCTATAAAATAAATTAAATAAACATTTATAAGCTGTTAATAGTCAATTACCCAGCGGGGCTGGTTGCGCTTGTTAAAATGATCTCTTCCCCAAAACAACCCCAGTGATTAAAAACTCGAAACACACAGAATAAATCTGTGTTTTCTCAGACACTATTTGGCACAGGTTTTCACGAAGATGCTGCAATTGAGCTGCGGCAAACGTTTGATCAGCTTCCGTATCTCATCTAGAGAATAAAATACTTCATCAGTCAAAAAACATACTCAAAAGTGCATGACCAAAATGGCAGGTGACCAAAAAAAACTAAACGTTACCCTGATTTAAATGAGGGATTTCTCCACGTTTGAGACTTGTTGGAAATAGTGTGAATCGTGAAAGTACACAACAACAACAAAATATTGGTCTTTCTGTTTTTAGAAATTGTAATAAAAAAAGGCATATTAAAGTTATGGAAGGGCTAATTGCAAACCACAATCATCAGAGTAGCTCCTAACAGGTGTGTGTATAGATACAGGTGCATGTCACACAAAAAACACTTAAAAACTGAATGTAACTTACACATGCAGTTCTCTGTATACTGCATTCTGTAGCTGCCTTTCCCAGCCTGCAACACAAGGAAAAAAAAGGTTATTTATTATTGTTACATCATATATTTATTGCATTGTATGAGGAAAGGAGAAGACAGAAATATGAGAATACACCCACCTGATGTTTTGAGAAAACTGCGTACGTCCTCTTTAAGGGACTCCAATTTTATTTCAGGTTGATGCAAACATTCCTACACAACATTAGGGGAAATAAAGTTAGAAATTGTATCCGTTTTGCAACTTGTAAGAAGAAGTACAAATGCAACTGTTTACGACACTTTGAGGTGCACAACAACCTGCTCGTTAGCCACATGCTAGCTCGTTAGCTCACTCACTTTGGCTTGCCTCTCTATCTGTGAGTGTAAATGGCTTCCCTTCAGCCGCTGCACGATCTGAGCGATGGTCAGAGATAACTCGGAGCCTTCGTCCATCCTGCTTTATTTAAGTTGTGGGTGTGAAAGGGCACAGTTTGTTGTGTTGTTCACTAGCAGCATCCGGCTATGCGGCAGCCGCCCGCTGCAGAGGTTACTTGGCAACTGTGTCAGATCGTGTGCAGGGGATACAAGAACCAGATACTTTGGTTCCGACATGAAATATCAGTTCCGACGGTAAACAGTAACACATACATTAAACACCCGAGAAAATAACTTTACTTGCATTTATCTGACAGTTACATAAAATGACTCTTATAAAATCAGATTACAAAATATAATTCAATGTTATATCTCATCACCTTATAAGGTAGTGAATATTATCCAATAACATACCTTGACAGATGTAGTTTTATGCAGATTGAATACTACTTTGACTTTTGAGTACATTTAGCCTGTTAAAACACTTTTACTCGTAGTATGGAATACTTTTACGTTTTGGTAGTAAACAATCGTGGGATTTCTTCCATATTTCCCATTTTTGAAATAGTCACATAATGTTTTTTGTTGACCTCAACACTCTTGCCTATTCAAGTGTGTTTTCATCTTATTAACGAGACAAAGTCAAATTAAGATTTGTTCTAAATGGGGGTGTTTCATTGTGAATTTGACAAATGTTGTAACATATAGGGCTATTCATGTGTTTGATTATAATACCAGCCCTAAAATATCACCAACTCTTTCTACATGTTTCTCTTCCAAGGATTTCCTAATGAGTCCATATAACAATAATTGTAATATCTCTAAATATTTGAGTTTGCATTGTTTGGACATGAGCTTCATGTTGCTGCTGACATGTCACATGAAATGCTACATCGGAAAACCATGCTTTCCGATGTAAGCATTGGCACACTGTCAGTATCCCAGACACAGCACAGGCCCCGGATACCTGACATCTTACATTAAGTTAATTTCGGTTACGCACCTTGAATTTGTCCTCTCTTACAAATGATCTGGGAAATTAGACATATTTGAGGTATTAATAAAGAAGAAGAATGGTCCATGAAGAAAACCTACTTACCCCAGTGCCTCATCTCTATTACTACAATGATTTATGAGTGTTTTATTTATTTAAAATAAAAAGGGGAGGGGGGGGGGGGTTGCTGACTTGTGCAGACCCTAACGGCGGGCTGAACACTGAGGAATGCGATCCTGTCAGTAGATGGAAATGCTGAGCACGAGAGGAGCGCACCAGACACAGAGCGTCCTATTGGAACTTGTACAACAATATATATTCTTATAACAATTATTTTGTTCTTCTTTTTAATCGACAGTAAAGGAGTTATTGATATACATTTTTGATCCTTTTTGAGCATTTTCTTTATCTTGCAAGAGCATGCTGTTCTGATGCCATATGAGTGATTTTACTTGAGGTGACAAGGGAGAAAGCGACATGGAGACTTTCACGTTACACGAAATGCTCATTAATTCGACTGATCTTAACCAGATTTTATGTAATTTCGGGATCAACATTTCGGAGTGCCAGAGCGAGCAGGAGCCGTCACCCGAAACAAAAGGTACAGTGACTCTTATTTATTGCATATCACTATAAAGTCACAAGAAACTTCATGTCCAATAAAAGATCACTGCATTCTGCATTTTGAAATTCATTTTTATTGAAAATGCAATCAATTAAATCCAGTGTTTCTGCCTTAACAGCGACAGCTTTGGGCATTTTCTTTGCGTCAGTGCGCATTACGCATGGCTCAGGGTCAGATAACGCAGTCTGCTTTATGTTGTAGTGACACATATGTAGTCACTAAGACTATAGTTCTGCCAATGTCAAGTGAAGAGAAATGCATGCAATTCTGGCCACTGGATAAAGGGTTAAATGGCGCAGAGCTTGCACATTTTGTCTGGTCTATTCTAATGTGTTCAGAATATTGCATAGTGGTTATTCTTAGATACTCTTTTGAATATATGAATTTTTACTGTGAATATATTTGCTTTGAATGTTTATTTCAATTTATTTGTATTTTATTCTATTTTTAAGACATTTTGTAATGACTGACAAAAATGCTGTTTTGAGAAAACAATTTCTCAACTTAGGATGAATAAAGTTTCTATCTTTCTTTCAATCTATCTTTCCGTGTATCTATCTATCTCTGTGGAAAAAATCTAAGAGGGTTAATCAAACATGAGACATTTCATTTAGGATAATCATGGTGATTCCCAGATATTCTGATCCATTTGCTTTATACAAGTAGGATTATTTCAGGAGTTTTAAGTGGGATAAAATATATCAAAACCAAAAATAGAAACATTTTTAAGAATGACATGCCCACAGTTTGTCTCCCTCTCCTTTCAGACATCAACCAGACAGTGCGGATCATCCTCTACAGCCTCATCTTCCTCCTCAGCGTTCTGGGTAACAGCCTCATCATCGGGGTCCTGGTGAGGAACAGGCGCATGAGGACCGTTACCAACCTGTTCCTGCTGTCCCTCTCCATCAGCGACCTGATGGTGTCCCTGTTCTGCATCCCCTTCACCCTCATCCCCAACCTCATGAGGGACTTCATCTTCGGCACCGGCACATGCAAGCTGGTCATGTACTTCATGGGTAAGTGCTGAGTCGTTGGTTATCGTTACATTTGGATACAACCTACATTGAAATCTTGCTTTTGCTTTAAAATGTCACACTTTTGTCAATGATTTGGGATTTTCTTTCACCCACATATTGTTAAAATCTACTATTATCCCCCAGTGGGTTTAGTTTTACTCAAAGAAAGCTAAAGGAAACTCCAAATTGTCAAATTATTTATTTAAGTTGAATTTAAACGTGTACACATTTTGCAATCATCCATTATTCCATTGCCATTTCGTATAATTTCTGCCATGCAAATTAGTCAACTGTGAACATTGTGCAATATTGTGTTAAAGATGGAGGATCATTGAAGTCACCTTAGGCCGTGTTCAGCATAAGGTTAATTTCCCTACATGTTCTAATGCTCCTTGTGGTTTAATGAGCTCAAAATGAGCTAAAAAAGCCCTCGTCAACTCTCCCTTTTATGGTGGATTTAACCTCTTGAATATTAACAGTCCAATATCAGAGTCTTGAGCAACATGCTGTATGTTGTGTAGAAGGATCAGCCACAACCCAAATACATATTTTATGTATAAAAAGCAATTGAATATATTTGTTTTCATCTCCAAACATCTCAAATTTGTTTCAGCCGAACTTAGATTCTTGAGCTTCACTGTGCATAATGATGTGTGTGCCGAATGTGTGACAATAAAGGCTGTTTCCACACTCGTCTGCTGCGGGAAGCTTCACTGCATTCACTTTTATTCTGGGCGTGTACGTACATGCAGCTCTCCAATATGTTCCAATATGCAGCCCACAGAAGTGTGATGTTAGACACAGCAGCTGAACATGAGACAGCTCAGAGCAAGAACACAACCAGACCCGCTTTAGGGAGGAAGAAGCAAATCAAATGAGAACAGGGGGTGAGGTTATAATTAAAACATCGACCTAACTTAAAGGTCCCATGTCATGGCCATTTCCACTGATCATAATTCCATTGTTGAGGTCTACTAGAATAGATTTATACTGTGCAATTTTCCAAACTCACATTGGTTTCGCATACAGCATCTCTGTAAAGTATCATTTGTTCAACTAGTCGACAAATGCATCTGTACTTTAAGATAAACTCATAGTTAGACTCCAAGAGCACAATTTGAAACTAATTGACTGATTACTTGTCAAATGCTAATTACCTTTTTAGATTACTCTAAAACTGTTTCTCAAAAGATCCACAGCAGTCAGCTATACCTCTCAGAGCACCCTTGTAATAAGGTGTAGTCATTACAGATTATGCAATTTTACTAATATTTCATTTTCATCCGATTACAGGTCCGCTAGGAAATCTAATTTTCACTTTTGCCCCTTACATCCTCCCGTAGTGAGATCAGAGCGCTGTCATCCAGGTTTATTACCTAATTCGTCCGTGTGTTTATCTGTTTATGTGTCGCTCCTATGGGTTCGTACACAGCCATCATTTCAATGTATTTATAGTCCTTCTTGTTATTGTAACTCAGTGTGTTAACAGACAGGATATGCTCTGTGGCTAAATTTAATGTGACGAAAAATGAATGTGCCATAGATAGCATCCACAGTCACTGGAGTAAACACGGTGACATGTTGTCAGGATGCTGATCATTAGGTGTTACAAAACCCATGGTAGAGATTAAAACAACTAAAAGCTGGAGGGAAATGATACCTAATTAAAGGAATAGTTACAATTTAGGAAATGCACTTTGCTTTCTCGCCAAAAGTTTGAAACCACCTTGTCTGTTCATCAAGTATGAAGCTACAGCCTATTGTGCTGTTGTGTCTCAGTTCTGTTACACTTCTATGTCGTACACTTTGAATTTGTTTTCATGAATTTCGACAGGGTAGTGTGCAATGACGATTACCGTGGTTAGCTTGCTAGCTAGCTACGTTGTCGTTTGTTTCCAAATCATTACGGACTGCCCTTTTAACCTAATAACCAAACTAATGGCTTCTATCCACCAAGAAAAATAGTGGTATGTTTATTAATTAGTAACAATAATTACTTATTTAGCTTAAACTTTAGTATTAGTCATCATAGCGTCAAGATGAGATAGCAAAAGCCAGGCTAGCTATTTCTCCCTGATTCGAGTGTGAATGCTAAGCTAAGCTAACTGACCCCTGGCTCTATCTACTATAATGGTACACTTTTACTTAAACAAATGATATTATTAATATGGTCAGATATGGCCAGCTCATGCGATTACAGCACTGAAATGTCCTTATATTTTATATGTTTTTTAATAAATCAGGGCCAAAAACTAAAACTATAAAAGTCGATCATCACATTTTGGGGATTTTCTGTTCTTTGCAGGTGTCTCTGTGTGTGTTTCCACCTTCAACTTGGTGGCCATTTCCCTGGAGCGCTACAGTGCCATTTGCAACCCGCTGACTTCGAGGACGTGGCAAACCAAATCTCACGCCGCCAAGGTCATCACTGCCACTTGGGTTGTGTCCTTCATCCTGATGCTGCCGTACCCCATTTCTAGCAACCTCAAGCCTTTCACGCGCTACAACAACAGCACCGGGTACATGTGCCGCCTGGTGTGGCCCAACGACGTCATCCAGCAGTCCTGGTGAGCTGAGAATAAGTGCATTAGGCGTCGTACCTTTAGTGTCCCAGCAGGCTGTCCTCACAGTCGATGCACTTAGATTAAGTGTAAAAGTAGCCTGTTGCTAATTTCAGATGGCGCCTTTATTGATTTGCTCAGTGTGTGCTGGTGAGAGACGACCTCTTGGGGAAATCCTCCTGCACGACAGAGATGACCCTACAAAATAAAAGCAAACAATTGCAAGGTTTAATATAATGATAAACGTTTGCATATACCAAATGTGTCCCTTGCAGGTACGTGTGCCTGTTGTTGATGCTCTTCCTGATCCCCGGGATCATCATGATGACAGCCTACGGACTCATTTGCGTGGAGCTTTACCGTGGCATCTCGTTTGAGCTGTCCAGCAGAAAGTCTATCAGAGGTATTGAAATATACAATTATAAAAGGACAATGCTGGCATTATTCTGTTTTTGATCCTATGGTAAATACCACAATGGCTGTTTTAATCAGCTCCAAGCTCACTGTTATTTTTCCTGATGATGCAAATCTATAAAAAACGGATCAGAAGTATTCTTTCATATATGTAAAAGAAAATAGCTAAATAATTATGTTAGCTGGGCACAATAGATTTGATCAGATGTTTAAAATATTGTTGTAAATAATGAATTTGTAAATAATTTACAAATGGAAAATCATGCTATATTTATGAAGAAGCAATTGACATTATGTTGTCAGGAAAATCTTTACTGAGGTACCTAATCAGTTGAAAAGTATATTTTATCATAGACTTCTATACAATCAAACTTCTTTTTGCAACCTGAGTGACTTTCTGAGCCATAAGTGCTTTTAGACTGCTGATAAAAAATCGACACTTGGTCTTTTCTTAACAAAATCTCTCCCCTGGCAGAAAGACAATCCAGCACTGGCAGCATAAAGCCTGGTGACAGTGACGGGTGTTACATGCAGCAGTCCAAAAGGAAGAGCATCACTGGGGGTGGAGGCAGCTCCAGCATCAAGCCCAAAGCAGAGCGTGTGTGCAGCAGCAGCTCCACAGCCAACCTGATGGCTAAGAAGCGTGTGATCCGCATGCTCCTGGTCATCGTCTTCCTCTTCTTCCTGTGCTGGACCCCCATCTTCGTGGTCAACGCGTGGCAGGCTTTCGACCGGCGCTCGGCCTACCGCCTCACTGGGGCGCCCATCTCCTACATCCACCTGCTGTCCTACACCTCGGCCTGCGTCAACCCCATCATCTACTGCTTCATGAACAAGCGCTTCCGCCAAGGCATGCTGGCCACGTTCACCTGCTGCAGCTGCCTGAGGAGCAGCGGTGGCCTGGGGAGGTCGGCTGGAAGCGGGACCGCTAAAGGGGAATTGGGCAGATTAAGAGCGGGGCCAAAAACCCCCGAGCAGAATGGTCATACCCCGCCAAGCGGAGCCAACACACACTTCACCTACACCGGCATCCGTCCGTCAGCCTGGAGTGAGCTGACCTAAACTCGATCGATGTGTGTGCAAACAGTTAAAAAATGAGTTGTTTTAATGTCAAGCCTTCACAGTGCTTATGTCACTAGTTTATAAGCAGCTATGGCACCGAAAGCTACAGTGTCCAAGCTGGTTGACCTGATCATGTTAAGCCTTAAAAGGGCCTCACAAAGCAGAACAATCGTTTTTTTGGTTTTCCACCGTTTAAAAACTCTGTCTACAAATGTTACATTCCCATACGACTGAACTGCATTTTCAATTATGCTTCAGGTAAACATATTTTCTTCCAGATTGCGGACCCAGTTTCAAACAGTTGGTAACAAAACGAAACAACAATAGTTATTGGTTACGTTTAGTAAAAGATCAAGATTTGGCTCAAAATAATAGACCGCACGATAAAATCAGTTTATCAAAATTACAAAAAAGTATAAATATTCTTACTTACCAATCTTGAAAACAGTTCACACCAAGATCTGCACATTTTAGGCAGCAATCTGATGCCACACAAGGACCAAAGTGGACCCTCAAGGATGTGTTGGAATTAGCCTGTATAGCCAGGCAGTTAGCTTAGCTATTAGCTAACTGCTAATTACTTCTAGCAACACTAAGACAAAAGTAGAAAAACATCAAATAAGGGGGAAAAAGGAGTAAGCTGTTCCTATATACAAAAGTCCTTTATGCTAAGCTATGCTAATCACCTCCTGTTGCTAGCTCCATTTGATGGAAATAACTGCAAACTGATGGCTGCCTAGAAGGCGGGAAAATACATTAAAGAAAGATCTTCAACACCAAATGGTCAGCTCTGATGTGAGCATTTCATCATAACAGCGATGACTGCTATGGTCCTTTAAAATCAGACTTGTGTGTAAACAGGCTTTGTATCTGTCGTGTACACTGCAGCATTGGCCGCCAGTCACAATGCAACTGTAATCGGCAGCTTCAAAACAGTCCTGCGGTGCACAAATAGTGCTGCTCTTGTCCTTGACCTAATGTGTGTGTGTGGGTATATGTATGTGTGTGTGTCTACATGGGCTGTACTGTGCTATGGGAGCTGGAGAGGCCTTATCATGTAGTGGGACTTTGAACACCTGTCCTGTATCCCCTCTATCTTCTTCAAAGAGTGAATTCCCGGCACCTGATTCCAACTGTTAAATATAGCAGCGTTCATGTAGCAACTTTTTGTTTTCTTGTTTCTGTATGTCAATGTTGTATAAATTCCTATTTACAGTGTAGGTTTGATGCATTTCTGAATATTTTCGAGTTGTTTTATTGCATGAAGATGTGCCTATTTTGACACAAGTCCTTTTAAATATGAACACAATTGAATGTAATCAATCGTTTTACAGGTTTATATACATCTGATAGTTGTTTCGGGGGTTGTATTGGGTTCTTTTTGTTATAGACACACAAGCCATCTCTGAAAAACCAGCGTCTGGTTGACCATATAAAGACCTGCGTCTGCGAAGGCTCAGGGCAAAGTAACGTGGAGCTTTTAACGGCGTTATCGAAAGTGGATCCAAAAAGGACAAAGGGCATTAGACGAGGTGGAAAAAGAATAGGCTCTATATTCTGGGACTTCTTCCCAAGGATACGAGCTCCATTTGGGCTTGGAGGATGCTAGAAGCCCTGAGAGAGCGTATCTGTCACTGGAGGAAGAAAAGACTGGGTTATTCATTCATTCTGTAAAAGTGTATTAAACAATGCTTCTCTACGCTTCTGATGACAATTAAAAACATAACACAAAGCAAGATTTTATATCACTTTTTTATTTTTCATTTTTATGCCAATATTGCAAGTTTTTTTTTCTCGTTTTTTTTCTTCTTTTAATGACATACAGATTTGAGCATGATCTGGAGCTGCAATATGTACAAAAACAAAACTAACATATGTTATTTAAAAAAAACGTCCCCTTTGTTTTGACGTTATTGCTAAATGTTACAAACGGCACAGGTTTCTACCATCAGCAACCCTTTGAGCACTGAGTATACTACCACAATGACACCTCTGCTTACCATTTACTAGAATAATACACAGATACAGTGAGAGTGAAAGAGAATGGAGAAGGAGAGGAGCGGGGAGAATGACAACGGAAAGGTGATCCAACTGTAGCGAAGCTAAGCATAACAGGCTGCGTGTTAAAAACTAAAAAAGGGAGGGGGGAAACTCCGAATGTACGTACATAAACATGAGCGGGAAAGAGTGAGAATGAAATGTGTGAGAGAGAAAGGGTTCGCGCTCTGTAGTGCAAACAGCCAATAGTCTTAAGGAGAAGTAAGGCTGAGTGCGACAGAGAAGGGCTCAACACTCCTTTTTTTTGTATTTGTTTAAAGCTGCCTCTCACTCTGCCCTGTTTTGTTTAGCAGTGCATGAAAACTACATTATAAAAGACATTTGGCATATTAGAAGATACATACATTGTTCAGAGCTCATTATAAAAAACAAACAAACACAAGAACAGCTGCTTTTGGAAGAACAAATATGATCAGACACAAAGAAAGAAACCGGTTAAGATCTTTTGTAAGAAGCATCGCTGAATGAGATTTTTCCTCTTTCTCTTTTTAGTTATTTCAGAAGGCATGTAACATGTTTTGACCCCTTTTTGAGTATGTTCCGTCTCTTACGAGAGAAATTAACTGTAAACCAGCTGAGATTGTCAAGGCGACACATTGTTTTTAAAAGCATGCATCACCCCCTTTATTAGTTATTTGAGCTAATGTGACAAAGCTGCTCGAGATGATGAGAAGCCGGAGGTGGTGAACTGTAAGAGGCGACTCCGCATGTAAACAAAATATCCAAGCTCTGGGGGGGGGGGGGTTAAGGAAGGAGGAGGGCGTGATGCTAATGCAGAAGCTAGGTTAAAAACTCGCTGAACTTATTATAAAAAACACTCACGTTAAAAATCTACAGTTAAGATTCTGTGTGTAAAGGGTTCAGGTTGACCTGCAGCTCAAATATGTGGCGCTACACTGCCGCTGCAGCACCTCCGCGGTTTCCAGGATGAACAGGTAGTGGCCTCTTTTTTTTATAAAAAGAAAAAAATGACACTCCCAGGACAACTGAGGCAGCACGGGCAATAATGCACTTTTTCTTTTTCTGTTTTGACATAAGACAAGGGGAGACTTTGTACCAATAATTTAAAAAATATTACAATATAAAACATTTAATATTAATGACTGACAGGTGGGCGGCGAAACGGGGGCATAACTTAATATTTTTTACATCGAAAAGGGGGTGCAAGCGAATCCTTTTTTGTTCCTATTTCAAGGGTTTGTTAGTAAGAAATACTTCATTAAGCAGACATTCAAGTTACAGTTTTGTTGTTCTGTTACCCCCGGAAGTGTATACAGTTGTACTGTAATACTAAGATCACAAGTATTGCCTTTGAATGTTTATCTTATCGCACATTTGGATCCTGGTGGAAGGAAGAAACACCCCAGTCGCTTTTTTTTTGGAGAGCAGTTGGAACACACTTTTGAAATGGAGCGAGTCTGACTCAATATTCCATTACAGCAACTACATATGACAGTCTCTCACACACTCACACACACATACCCACACACACACATATTTGCTGGCTGGTGAACTAGTGCTCAGGCGGACAAAAGACGATGAAATGACAATATTGCTGTTCTGTTTGGAAATCTTCATTAACACACATTTAGAAGGCCTTTAAACTCCTACAGGAGACGCGGTCGCCATGAACACGGATGAGAGCAACTACTCGGAGTCTACGATGTACACACACACGTTTGTTTTCTGCAAAGACAATAAAACCACAGGAGATTTGTTTTGTTTTAAAAAGAAGGCTGACAAAAGAGCTTACGGCGCTCGTGAGACATTGTACCAAAAGTGGAAAGGTGCCGCGCACCGCATGAGAATAAAAAACGGGCATATTGTACACCGAAGAGACTCTTTCCGGAAGGCTGCTTTGCATGATAAATGTGGAGCTCGAACCGCTCCTGTGATGAGAAGCGAGGCATTAGCTTGTGCTATGCACAGGTTCCTCCAACGTGAGCAGATAAGAAAAAGGTGAAGTACGTTTTTTTGTTGTAATTGAAGTTATCGGTAAGGCCACATCAAATTGAAAAGTTTTTTTTGGGTTAAATGCCACCACTGGAAGACACCTTGCTCGGTGTAGTTTTTTCACCACATCATGATAAGCTAACAGTGAGCGCAACAGATACAGGATAGTAGATATGTGAGCGGTTTGACTGTGTACACAGTAAGAATATACAGTACTAAGGCTATCATTTTAAGTCAATGACTACGCTTGTTTGAAAAATGACTTGTTTTTCGTAACCACGGAAGTCTAGTTTTTCTGCAAATGTTGCTATGACTCCACGTGAGATGTACTGATGTGTATACTTGTCCGAAGGAGAACATAGCGCACATAGAGTATTGCAGGCAAGGCAGAGGCGTTGCTTAAAGCTTTTCTTTTTAAAGACTTCATAAAAACCAATGATAAAACATGGGCCATCTGAGGTTATTCCCCAATTCAAAAAACAAACAAACAAATACAACCTTATGTAAAATAAACAACCCAGACTTCAGATTTTTCCCCCAACAGAAGAAGCAAGTGTATCAAAAAACAAACAAAGGAAATCCAAAAGGTTGAAAAAGCAGGCGTTTGTAGTAAGGTCACAATAACATACAGGTTGGGATTTTGGACCTCAGAAAGGGGGGAAACAAAGCCCAAGCTCAGAGGAAGAATAGAAACTATTTGGTAACAAAAGTGTACTATATGTTTAATACAAAAAAGGTATGGAGAAAAATGTACCTTTACTAAAGCTTATACAAGATCCTTGGTCCATAAAAACTATGTTATCGTCACGTTTTATGTGTGTCCCTCTGCATCCTCCCTCCAACAACAATACATCCAGCCCCCTTTAGGAAATCAACGCGAAAATAACAAAACAAAACGGAATAATTATAAAACAAGTGGCGAGAGGGGTTTTTTGGGAGGGCGCAAAAATATACTTTCCTTTCGAGGGATTTGTTTTTGTACACGTTGGATGTATTGTTGTTGTGGCCGTAGAAAGGTGCCGGTGCTTGAAGGAACTTCACTCGTTCCGAAACACCAGAAGTGGATAGGCAGGTCCCTAAAGTAACCGCAGGAGAGGGGGCGTGTCACGGAGCGCTTATTCCCATTGGCTGACAGCGCCGTGATGTCGCTCGGCCTTCAGATTCTCCCTGCGTTCGCTCCTTTTACTCCCACCAATTTTTCAGCTTCTTTGTATCCAAAATGTATACGCAGCACTTTAGAGTCTTTGTTTATTATTTCCCGTAGTCTTTATATACCTTGTGGTACATTCGCTCTCAAGGCATATAGAGTGGCCCCCTGTGTGCGTTAGGAGACCACGGCCGCGGCGGTGGATGATGAAGACGTGACCCCCGCGTTGGAGGTGCTGTTGGGGCCATACACGCCGGGCTCCTGGCTGCTGTTGCTGAGCAGGGTGGAGTTCCCGGACCGCAGGATGGCCCCGGCGGCGCTGCAGTGCGGCCGCGGCCCCGGCTCCGGCGTGTAGGTGAAGGTCAGCGTGGTGGAATAGATGATGCCGTCGTTCCTGACCAGCGTGACGGGCACCTGCACGGGCTGCCGCACCCAGCGCCAGCCCTCGCGGAAGGCAGAGATGTCGGGCACCACGCACAGCATGCTCTCCGCACACCTGCAGGGGGAGGGGAGGGGGGGGGGGACGACACACATGTTAGAGGTATAGTCACACAGGGGTCTCTTTGTGTTTAAATCGAGTACATTTATTTTTGTTGTAGCCCTTAAAATATTCCTTGATACACTGAAACCACTATTTTACAGGTGCATAAGATAACAAAATGATATTTATCTTTTTCCAAAAGAGTGAGTTTTAGGAGCAAACTCTGCTCACCAGAAAATATAAACAAAATATACTATTCTAAAATTGAGAGGGATTATTACATCTGCAAATGTTCAAGTATCTAAAAAGGTATTTTTGAAAAATATCCAACAGGGTTTTAAAAGTGTTATAGAACTTTCAAAGTAGGAAGATATTCCAAAACAAAAACGTTTATCTTGGTGTTTATACAGAAAAAATAATATCAGTTGTAGGAATAGCAACAGAGACTCTTTAATTATAAGCAGGGTTCATACACTTTTTCAACAATGATTTTCAATGACTTCTCCATGACCTTTACCTAATTTTCCATGACCAAAAAAATTACTCTTTCTCAGCGGTACCACATGGAACAGGAAAATAAGGTCTGCATATGAAACATGTTGTGCCTATCTAAAACAAATCAAATAGTTGGCTTACTAGTTTCTACACGCTAAAGCAACTCAAATCTCTCACCAGCAAAATACCTCGTTGACAGTTAAATGCCATTTTACGTTTCATTACTATACGATACAGTATTTATTATCGTTATAGTATTACTATTTCGGCGATTAGATAAAATATAAATTATATTTGATGCAACTTTAGTTACATTTCCATGACTTTTCCAAAAATATTGTTTTCCATAACTTTTCCAGGGCCTGGAATTAGCATTTTGAATTTCCATAACTTTTCTAGGTTTTTAATGACCGTAAGAACCCTGTATAAGGCCGCAGTAACATCTCGGAGGTTCTTTCCCCGACAGTGGTTAGTCTGGACTTTTCATTCTCCTCCACTGTCTCCGATGTAATGCTTGGTGGGTGGTACTAATAAACAGATTAAATAGGATCTGTGTATAAACTCAATATGACAGAAAGAAAGCCAAGGACAAAGCTGTAACATTGCAGAACCTTGGCTTTTAAAGGTTTTTGGCTCAGTCAAAGAAAAACTATTTCCAATGTTGGAAAACTGAGGATTATACAACTTGATTTAGTCCAGGGGTGCCCAACCTTTTTTTGAACCGAGAGCTACTTTTAAAGTTGTCGGTCTGCCGAGATCTACCAGTCCAAATAGAGAGGCGTAGCCATTACTGACAGCCTACTTACTACCAGGTAAATACACACTTCTACTTGTATAAAACTGACCTTTGTACGATTAATACTCCATAAAATACTGCAGATCCTTTATCTTACCTCTTTTTCTAATCTACACGCATACAAGTATTTAACTGAAGTTACACAACAATGTTGTTGATACAGAGTTGGAGTTTATTCACACGTCACTACAGTGGGTAATGTTTTCAAGAAACATTGAACAGCGCTGCCACATATGACACAGGGAAAAAGAAAAGACTCTGAACTCTTTCTTTGCCATTATATAAAAACAGTGTTGCTACAAAAGTATATATTAGGCTTACTAATAACTCAGATCTGAAGCTACACAGGAATCTGCTGCCAAAGTGCAATAAAAAAGACAAAATTAATAGAATCAAACCCTTTTTTTGTTGCATTTTAGTAGAGTATAAAAATAAATGCCTTTAAAATAGGATGCAAGCAACACTAGTTTCTTAACCTGAATTGATAATAGACTATAATCAATTTAAGTTTGCATTCTTATACCATTTTGTACAATAATTATAATGAATAAGTTCAAACAAACTAAAACTTACAGCTGATTAATAACGGTATCTAACTTGAGTTTTTATTATATCAAAAACCTGTTTAAATGCTGCTGTTATTTTTACTGTCCCCAAAAAGCACGTCGCAGCCTCCAGGAATGCTTCTTTCACAACTTCGCCGTCTTTGAAAGACTACATGTGTTTTGCAAGAACGTGACTGACACGATAAGATGCTCTGGTAGCAGCCTTGCTCTTGTTGTTGGGCCTGGTGAAAATGGACTGCTGTGCATTTAGCTGTCCTTTCAGGCCCCTCCCCTTTTGGGAGCGTAGGGCAGAATTAGGAGGGAATTCCGTCTCGTAGCGTTTGTGCACTGTTTTGAAATGCCGCTCCTAAATTACCCTTCTTCGATAAAGCCACGCTCGCATTGCAGATGAGACAGATGGACTTTAAATTGGAATAGATACAAAAAATAATCATCCTCCCACTCGGAGTGAAAATTATATATTTTGGGCTTTCTTGCTTCTGCCATAATTGCGGTCTTGTGTGTGTGCGGACTGTCACTCCTGTTGACACGGACAATGTCAGCGAACTAGTGCACTGCCCCGACACATGGGGTCACGCTGGCCAATCACAAGGGCTTTGATGCGTTCAAGTGCATTATTCTGGCACAGGAAGATTATGTTATAGGACGTTAACGATAAAACTGAATATTGTTGTTCTATTTTTAGACACATCTCGCGATTGACTGGGAATCTCCCCGCGATCGACCGGTCGATCGCGATCGACCGGTTGGGCACCCCTGATTTAGTCCATTAGGCATCCACAGGATCTGCAGCATTACGCCTGAGAGAGAGCATTTTGAAAGCTTTTATTCATTTAAATTACATTTATAACTTATTCATATATCCTTTATATTCATTCATCTCAAGTCAATCATTTCCAATGAATGTATTATCCCTAATAAATTGTTGAATAAGCTGTAATGGGCATTTTGGATACTGATGAGAAAAAGTGAATGAATATGATTTGGACAAAAACAGGAAAAAGTAGATTGGGGAGAACAATAACAAAAATGTCTGTCATGTAAGGTGTGATCTTTAAGACAAATTACCTGTACATGGTCTCCGCTTCGACATCTCCGAACCAGACCCGCAGATTTGAAGTGAAGTTCTGTCCCGTCAGCTCCAGCATGGCGACGTCTCCTCCACCATTTAGCTGAGGACAAAGAACACATATTAAAAGGACTGAACCCAGATTTATGTTCACGGACTACAGGAGTACCACAAGGCTTTGTGTTGGGGCCCTTGTATTTAAAAAGAATGTCTCTTCTGTGTCTACCTGTAAGCTCTCTACCACAGGCACGGGGGTGACAGGCGAGTGCACGGGGCCCATGCCCTCGTAGAAAGTGTATTCAGCCTTGTCTGTGCTGATGATTGTCCAGGAGGCGCCGTCATTGATCATCTCCTTGTTTGGTTCCTTTGGGCATGGAGTGGCCTTGGAGTAGAGGAGACAGAAACCTTAATGTACATCAGGGCAGAGATAACCACCAACAATTGCATCAAATTAAGACTACTTTGGATTTATGACCATCTTAAAAAGTAGAGGAGTGGAGTGCACACTTTTCTTCAAAGACGAAAAGGCATCTTGTCCTGAAACATCTCCATACAGAGCTCAAATTGCTTTCAGTCTACTTTAAATGGGACAGAAATGGCTCCCGATTTCAAAATGCTAAACCAATCATCCTGAATGCTCCCTGAAGAGCAGAAGATTAACTGGATCTGAGGGTGAAGTGACCTGAAAGGAAGAGATGTAAGAAAGGGGAGGTTGGGTGAGACACTCACTTGAAACTGGATGATCCTTTCTTGGGATAGGCACAGGTACATGCGCTCTGTGTCCTTCAGGTAGAAGGCACACTTGTGGAGCTGGGAGACGGGGTCGTCGGCGTCCAGCAGCGCCGTCTGCTTGTCCACTTTACGGATGATCTGATGGGGGAAGAAAGAGATAGATTAGAAGCACAGGAAAGCCTAAAGAAAGAAACACTATTTGTATAATTTGACAGGGATAAATGATAAATAAAGATAAATGACAGGAGTTAAGGGTAGGGGGAAGCAGAAAACAATGATGGATGGACAGAAGGGAGGCAAGCAGAAAGCTCAGTATGTGCTTTTGAAGAAAAACATATAATTGTACAAGTGACATGAGACTAGCAAACAAAAACAAACAAGGTATTTTTGTTTGGTAACGGATATTAAATGAATAATTCAACACTTTTGGAAAATTGCTTATTCGCCTTTTTGCCAATAGTTAGATTAAATGCAGATTGATGAAATTCATAAATCTCTACCTCTTAACCCAATGATTAACATGTGTGTCGATTGTTTGTTAAATCCTTACAAAAATGTGTAACGTGATTTTTTGGGGAAATGCGTGACTACTAGCCAATATTAGTCTAATGTGTCCCAAACTGCAAACTATGCCTGCTATATTCTATTTGCCTGTATTAAGCAATCTATGACCTAAATCTGACATGAATGTACAAACCTATATAAAGTCATTCTTTATATAGCCTGCCATCAAATGTTTTTCATAATTTAATGATAAAACCAGATAATATTTGACCAATACAAACCTTGAAATCTTCCCGGACATGTTGACTTACACAATTCGTTTTTTTTATGGAAATGCTGCTTTGAGTGTTCTAGTCTACTTATCAACAAAAACAATGATTTGTAATCTCAAATGTTGTGTTTGGTTTACCAGTCTGGGCAGGGCCATGCCGGTGACGGAGCACACCAGCTTCACTGTCTGGCCGTAGTGGATGTAACCGTCTCTCACAGTGAACTCTTCTCCTTCTGACTCCTCGTCATCCACTGGAAACACAAGAAGAAGTCAGCGCTGCAGCAAAGCCATGACATTTTCAAACCCATATTCAATCAATCCCTGTGTTTGATGTGATGCATCAGCTGTGTAATTACTATGAATCAGCGTGGGCTTTTTACGTGAAGACAAAGTGACAAGCCCACACTCCTCACACTGAACCTCTATACCAGGGGTGCCAAACTTCTTTGACCGAGGGCCACATACAGAAAAATATATACGAAGGGCTGGGCCGCTCACTAGAGGTATATCGCCTCATAAGTTCAGTTATAAGTTAGCACAATCAATCAACTGTAGGTCAATGATGCGTGTGAGTGTTGGCAGCTCATCCCTGAAAACAGAAGCCTGAGATTGATTATAATAAGGAGAAATAGAGAGGGTGCATTTCAAGCTTGTTAAGTAAACAGGTCATTGGGCTTTTTTCTTATCGACTAAGATATGTTAGAAAATGTTTGCAACTTTAATTGAGTGAATGGATTTAACCCTTAGATGCACGAGTGACTGGACTCTTCCATAAGTGGGTCAAAAAGGACCCGTATTAGAATAATATGTGTTTTTATGCCATTTTTTTTCGTTATGAAAAATCACACTAGAAATATTTTATATTTAATTTTTCACTATTTATAATTTTAGACATTTTTTTTACATTTTGAAAAAAAACGTTTTGAACATATTGATGCAAAGATCTCCGCTATTCGGCGACCCTCACAGTATTCCAGTCCCTTTTCAAAACTCATCTCTTCTCCTTGTCTACTCATAGCCCCCCCCCCCCCCATCAATCCATGCCGGTTGATCAAGTCTGATAGTCCTATACCCCCCACCCTAACCTTCCCTTATATTGTAAAGCGATTTTGAGTCAATGAAAAGCCCTATACAAATATAATGTATTATTATTATTATTATACTGACAGGTATCAGATCTTGCTGTGTACAATAATCTTCCTGAGAGGTGTCACTTGTGATGTCGTCTGTGTGTTCCACAGTGAATGTATTCCTGACAGCCACAGGTGATAAGAATCAAAGGTTCCCAGAGGATTCCATAGAAAATGCATGCAGGTCATTTTTAACCCACTTATGGAAGCTTGGGGTAGTAATACAAAAACTACAATTTCTTAAAATGTATAACATTTTAATTTAAAATGTGAATGGCATGATATCCAAAACATGTTTTTTGAGGAATAACTGGAATATGAAATGATAAAAAAATGTAATTACAAAGATACTTCAACAAAACCACCTCACCGGGTCAAAAAAGACCCAGTCATGCATCTAAGGGTTAAAAAGAATAGGGTTAACATGAATACTACGGCGTAATATAATTTTACATTTATAGTTAAGAAGTACAATATAAGACGAGCACAAGTTTCATTTGTGGGTCATCTCTATACTGTACAATTCTAAGCTTTTTTCTAAATGTTTGTGTTACTGACAGACGTACACAGGTGGATGTAAAAGGCGCCCCATTGCTGGGAGCTGGCATGGAAGTTTCCGCCCTCCACGTGAAGGTAGCGCGTGCTGACTGTTTGGGACCGGAGCCGGTTGAAGAGCGCCACCTTGGTCCCTGATGCGATGCACACTGTGGAGAAACCAAAAGAAAAAAAAACACAGACTAGAAGGTTACATAACGGCAAAAAAATGACCTCTTGCAGCGATAACAGTGTGGGAATCTGAGCAGAGGTGATGTGTCACTACAGTTGTGTTAACATGTGACAGAACTGGGTTACCAGACACTCAAGTGAAGCTACAGCGCCCTCTAGTGGTGACACATCATAAGAATACTGATATAAGATTACATAGGAAAATGCAAACATTTTAGTAAATAAATTAGGTACATTTGTATTCTTTAAACTTCACATTCAGCTATAAAAATTGTTTTTCCAATTACATTTTTTATTGTTATTATTTATACACTGCCATAGGTTCACTCTGAGACGTTGTATTAGAATGTGTTTAATGCATAAAATCAATAAATAAATGTATGCATACAGTGCAATACATACATCAATTTAAAAAAGGGAATGAAAGTAGAGAAATAACATCATTGAAAGTAAAATGTGTCAACAATATTAAAAGACTGAAAAGTGCAACTGTTAAAGTAAATACCTTTTTGTATAAATAAATGTGCTTTTATATATTTAACGTGCGTCCTTCTTATGTGTCTTTAAGCTAAACAAAATCATTTTACATCTAAAGTTCAGACCCGAACTCCAGTTTCACAAGTCAGTGAAAGCGCTTACACCCACGTCTATCAAATGTCATCAGTGTCCCCGGCACAGACAAGAGACAAACGTGTGTGTGAATGTGTGTGTATGTGTGTGTGACAAACAAGCAGAAACTCACGGTCAGCGTTCTTTAGGGACTGCTTCTTTTTGGAGGGCTTGGAGATGACTTTGATCCTCTTGCTGAGGAAGACGCCGATGTCAGTGCTGTTGCCGTAGAACATCTTGACAGACAACATGAAGTGCTTTCTCTTGTCGGAGTCAGATATGTACAAGGTTTTGGCTGTGCAATAATTCTGGGTGGACAAGGAGGGGAAGATACATCAGGATGCATTAGATCTTTTATTCTTCAAAGGATGTTTTCTGTGCAGCATGTCTTGGAAAAGATATACAGAAAAGTGACACGAGAAGTTACAGCTGACATTCCATTTATTCTTTAAGTGATGAGTTACCATGTCACCGGTTACATATTTCCCCGCTGACAACAGACAAATGGAAGGAATTTAACCTTGAGAAGAAGTGAAGGCGACTAAGTATTATTACTGGAGGTAAAGTATGTAGGTATGTCAGCTTCAAGTGCATTTCCGTGAGAAGGTAAATAAGTGAGTGACACATGATGTAACGTACCTTTCCCTCTAAGTTAAGCTGTTGCATTTCTTGGTCGCTGTTGCCGATGCCGATGAAGGCGCAGGGCTGCGACTCCTGTTCGGAGCAGCCGTCCCGCTCCATCTGCTCCTTCTTTTTCTTCCAGCCGCTGCCCATCAGGTACACGCAGGGAGGAGGGCAGAAGAACCTGGACACAAGCATAAATATTTAAGATTATTTAGCACACATGAAAGATGCACTGTTTTATCAATAATCTGACTTTCAACATTAATATCTTAATGTATATATAGACAACATTTTACATATTTTTTTTTTTTTAAAAACAGTTGACACTATACTTCTTTTGTGAATATATATATTTTTATCTTAAATTACATTGTTAATGTCAATATTTTTATAATATTTGAATTTTATATTCGTATTTTTAAACTTTTAGTTTGAAAATGGAGCAACTGTCACAAATATTTTTCCCACCGAGGAGCGGATGTTTGTGACATTTCTTTATTTGGATAACAAATATTTCTTTAAATATTGGTATGTTTTTAATCAATCTGCCTGGATGAAAAAGATCAAATACATTTTCCATGAATTGTAAACATCATTTGTCCTAAAGAAAGACTTTAAAACCACTTTGAATAGAACAAACTGGCATTATACATCTCCCCATTTACACCAGAAGAGGGCAGACCTGTGCTAAGCATCAACAAGACCGTCAGAAACCTTTATCGACACACTGTTAAGTACAATTGAACTAAGCACTCTTTCCTAAAGCTGTCAAGCCTCATTTAGCAGATGTGAACATGAGCAATCCAGCATGAAACTGATCTTGTGAAATAAAAAAAGACGTTTCAAGAAAAAAGGTAACTTGTTTCCAGTGACGTGCGGTGAGGTTCGTGGCTGGTGAGGCACTGACTCTTTCAGGGTCAGATTTACAAATATTATATTTTGACCTTAATCGAAATACTCGGTTATTTTCAAAAGCTTTTTTAGTCTGATGCTTCGATTCATTTTAAACAGACCTTTCAACAAAAGGATAGGCCTACCCACAATTTAAATATTGGATTGTTCTGTCTTAGTAAGATCCCATGTTCATTATAATTGTGGTCTTACCTTGACTTGAAGATGAAGTCCATGCTATCCTTCTGGACAACAATCTCTATTACTTTTTTGTAAAAGTCCTCCTTATCTTCCTGTAGTTTCAAAAGTCTAGTTTGTTGTTTGCGTCTACCGCTACCGTGCCTGCGTAAAATAACAGTCGCAACAAGAACCTGTGGGCTCACTTGCGCCCCCTTCAGTGCGGCAGAGGTTATGGCTGCCTCCCCTGGTGCTTTTTTCATTGCCGTTGTATGATGAGACCAGCGAGCCTAAATATCATATACGTGAAATAAGTTATTTAGAGACTATGGATGGCGAGGATAAATGTAATAAAGGGATCTACAAACATTACATTGGTGACATTCAGTGAGATGGTGCAGGCATGCGCTTAGGGCCTGCTTTCCAGCCAGTTTCTGTGAGGTGACGCATTCTGAGGTGAGGCAGAGCTCATCTGTGCCTCACCTCACCTCACAGTAACTGGCTTGAGCGCGCTCACAAAATAAGTGCCCGCGCTCCAGCCAGTACTGTGGGCTTACGAGAGGCAGAGCTCGTCCCTGCCTCACTTCTCATCGCTACCCGTAGTTGTAGCGGAGCTCGGCAAATTTGCTGATTTTGACTATAAAAAGCGATTGGAATCATACATAAATCACATTTACAAAACAGATCAGTGGAGACATTTTATTATTATTACTATTTAGTTTTTCTTTAGTTGTTTTTCCGTTACATTGGAGTATGACAGGCTCTGCCTCCCCTGACTGCACGTCGCTGCTTGTTTCCCCCCATGTCAGGAGTCTACATGCCCTCGAATCCCTTACAACTCAATTCAGAAGAATGACAACGTAAGCCCTATCGAATGTCTCATCACAGAACCAGCATAACTTCAAGTAAATTCATGTGTGTCAGTGTGAAACTGGAAAGCGACCTGTTTCGCAACACCGCTGTCTGTCTCCGTGGGTGTTAGTCTACTTTCACCTCCTATAAAAAGCGCAGACAGAAAGAGGGAGACGGCATATTTGCATTTTTGTTGCACCCACTTTCTTAGACTCCCTTGTTTCTGTACATGCACAAGTCATCAGAGGTGTGCAGAACATGAACATCATGGTGTTTCTGCGAGCCAAAGGATGTTGAAACAGACAAATTTAACCCCTGCATCGTCACGTCTTTGAGCAACACATAATCCGGCAATATTGATACCAAACTTGAACAAATGAGTGCGACAGGAGTGTTTGAATTCTGACATTTGCCTTGCTTTAACTAGACAGCTAGGATTTATCTGAGGAATCTGAGTCTGGATCTCTTTCCCCCGATGTTGCTCCAACTCTCTCAGGTGTCTTAGATTTGGCCCGCAAACAGCTGATTTGCCCCAGAGATAGGCCTGATGAGATCGCAAGCAGTGCTGCATCGCGGCCAAGAAAACAGGCGGAGGACAGAGGGCTGAAGAGAGTTGCATAATGAGCGAGAAAGAAAGAGTGGGGGGGAAGGGAAAAGCTATAAAAGGTTTGAGAGTGAGAGGTAAAAAGGTGAGCGCAGAGTTACAGGAAGAGGATGAGGAAGATGAGTTAAAGAGAGACAAAACTGAAGCATGGAAATTACAACAAAAAAGAGCAACAGGTCCTTGAACCTTACACCTAAATGCCACTGGTACACCCCCCGGAGCCTTTTATCTATTCCATATGCCCCTGCGTCCCTTCCTTCCGCCTTCACCTGAACGTGGCCTCACACCGGAGGTCGCCTCTCGTTTCCTCCTCTGACCTCTCGCAGGTCAGAAAGGTTGAGGTACCCACGATGCACCGAGGCCAGCAGGAATGTGTGCTTTTCATTCACTCCATTAGCCCGATTCCCCTCGAGTGGCATACGCTACCTCTCCATAAATCCCTCGCAACAAAAAGGGGGCCAAGTTTGTGTTGCGTGACATGTCACTAATAACTCCCTTTTAGCCGATTGCAATCAGCGCACTCAGCGATAGGTCAGGGTGTATAAAGGTTTTTTAAACACCATGTTGACACATCGACACATGTGGCTTTTTACTCGTTATTTGGAGCGCACAACAACAAGGAATCCAAATTAGAGTAAGGGCTACATTTGTTAATAAAAAACGGTATTTTTCACCTTAAAAGGAATTGTTTGACATTTTGGCTGTATCTTGACATTAAGACTGGAAACAGCCACCCAGCTCCCAAGTACACTTCAGTTGTTTCAAAGATTCATCAAACAAGACATAACGTGTCAATACGCGAGCTTTGAAGGTGCTGGTAGGCGTGATTTAGTTGCCTATTATTGCCAAGAAACTGTCTGCCAGCAATAGCTTTAGATTTATCGAACAGACGTGAAAGTGTTATCGATCTTCTTATCTAACTTTCAGCAAGAAAGCGAATCTGCATATTTAACAAAAAAAGGATTACTCGGGAGACGGGAACAAATAAATCAGCTAAATAATATGAAGTTAATAGTACACCAGAGAGGGAGCTACAGAGATTGCAAATAATGACGAAATCGGGGGAATTTTCCATCTATGAATCCGTTTCATTTTCAAAAACCTGCACGGCTTTATTTAATTTTTTCATATCCAACAACTTCTTATGATGATTACCATGCCTGTGGAAACCTTGATATAAGAAAAACTGCTGTCGTATTTCACTCACCTTTTCTCATTGCCATAGGATTTCTGTGCAACTTTTGCGTGCAGGATCATGACAGTTTGGTCACCTCGCTCCTTCAGGTAATTCCTCATCGCTTCTCTGCAAGAGGAAAGGGGAAGACAGGGGGGGGGGAAGAGGGAGGAATGTTCATTAAAAGCCAATTTTTTGATCCAGCAGATGAGATGAAGCGATATTGGACGTGTTGAAACTGAAAACTGAAGCAGAGAGATGCCTCAGGGGTCGATGTTTGGGTCACTGTATTTCGTCAAGCGGGTTTTGTACGCTTAAGTGTAGACATAAAAAAAAAAAAAGAGTGTGAAGTATGGAATGAGAACATACAGAGACACACATGCATTACACTCGCTCTGACCTCTGGAAAGCCTTCAGAGACTGCACAGCCTGCTCGCCAAAAAAAAGCTATGTTCTCCCCCAGCTGGGTCCGTTTGAGTTGAAGAGGGGGGAGGCTGTAACGTTAATGACCGGCTCAGAGGGACAGTGAGGAGCATGGGGGAGAAAAGGGGGGGGACGAGGAGGAAGAAGAGCAGAGGCTTGTGGGGAGGGAGGTAAAGAGCGAAGAAGGAAAAAGAAAAACACCAGAGCTGAAACCCCCCCCCACAAAAAAACAACAGCGCTGAGCTCACCAGCAAAGATTCCTCATCTTGTGTCAAAATGTTGCAAGGGGCCACGCTCAAATTGCTTCTATCAACTCCAAACCCACCCCCACACTTACTTTACACAAACAAGCCTGGAAATTATTTTTTGCATTTGAGAGACCGGTGGAGCTTAAGCTGGCCTGAACAGCAAAGGGTCAAAGATTGGGCTTAGAAGCGCAATTAAGAGGAATCACATTTTTCCATTTTAAAAGGTTATCTCAAGTGTTAAGAGGAACTCTGGATGAGTTTGTTAGGAACTGGTCCCCAATTGCCCCTTACATGAAAGAGGATATGGGTTATAACCTTATATATACAGTCTATGGTTATAACTACGGGCATTCATATAACAGCATAAGTACTCACTAGGTTGTTACTGATTTTTTGTTTTCTCCTCGTCTGTTTTTGTTTTGTGAGTTTTACTATGTTTTTGTTCTAGATGTTTTGGTATTGTATCACCTTGTAACTGCTGAAAAAAAGAGGCATCACACAGACGGACATTAACACACACCGACCCACATGCACAGATGTCAGTGACACCTGACACGCCAGGTTGCTCGCAGGGCTTCCCACTCACACAGCTTTCCACTCTGCCACGCAATACTCGGCCGCACGCTTGGGTTAGACGGGGCCTTTGTTATGAAAAGCAAGGGGCCCCTCACAGTTAGAGTGTGTGTGCGTGTGTGTGCGTGCGTGTGTGTAAGAAAGGGTACGGATGAGGAGGAGGAAGGCTGAGCGGGATTTTGGCTTATCCGTTTTATAATGGACGGGGGAACATTTTACTTCTCGCCTTGCCGGTCATGATACAATTGTTTCTCGAGGTAAAACGAAGCATTTTTAGTCGTCCAGCAACACAAACATACGCTCTGATTATTCTGTGTTATCTACCGATCTCCAGCAACTGAAAATGACGGAGGTACAATCTTAGAATTCCATTTAAACGATTTGATGCAGCCTGATACCATTTACACACCACATGGAGAACATTACTTTCTTTTCCTAAATCGAGCCCAAGTGCACATGACTGGAGCTTTTCAAAAGTTTGATTAAAAGATATCCAACTTACTTACACATTGAGCTTCACCTTCTCTGATGTTTACATTAAATGACATAGCCTTCCTCGGGGGCTGAAATGAACGATGCATTCACTAGTCTCATACTCAGATGGAGAAAATAGTCCAACTCTGCTGATGTCAGGCCTGCAGGGCACATGTCACTGGACACCTCTGCTGATACCTATGACCTGCAAGACTTGCAGGAAGGGTGACATCACAGATACAACAACACAAACAGATTGTGGCTGAATGGTATGCCGCTTAACCATTAGGGCACCTTGACACAGTTCCAGATTATAAATCATAGTTTTGAGAGATTCTGTCAAACAAAACAATAAGTAACTTTTTGATATAGGGAGGTAAAGTGTATTTCTCAGTGTTTACTTGCAATAAATCATTCTACTTGCACTCGATAAGCGCAGAGCTCCGCCAAGGCCGACCGTGCATCAACATGCTCCTAGGATTATCAAATGATCAGGATGGGAAGTTGCTCGTCTGCCTTCAGTGGGTTCATAAGCTTACGGTCATATTGGGGAACAACAGGGACACTATAAAGAATGGGCTCTATTTATCTTGTTCGGGAACAATAATTCTGACTAGAGATGTCCCCGATCACGTGATCGGCTCCGATCCCCGATCACGTGATTTTCAAAAGATCGGAATCGGGAGAAAAAAAATCGGGGATCTGGATTTTTTTTATAAAAATATTTGTATTATTTTATTTAATGTTACAAAACTAAAATGACCATGTTCACGTCTTAAAGTCATCCTGAGGACTTAGTTTTGGTTTAAAATGACACATCATGTATGTGTTGCTTCTTTTGGGCTTGTTTTCAGACCTGGTTATTTCTCTCAAATCTGGCAACAGAGTGGGCGCAGTGTCTGATAGTAGCATTAAGCTAGCGAGAGGCTTCGTTCAGCTGGTGACTCGGGACAGAGAAAATGTCAGCAGTTTGGAAGTATTATAAAATTGAAAGCGAAGGCAGTGTAACAGCCAGATGCAATGTTTGCAAGGCGGAGGTTCCGCGTGGTGGAAAGAACAGAGCTACGTTCAACACGACCAATCTAATACGCCACCTGAGAAACAAACACCAACAACAACACGACGAGTCCACAGCGGCCACTCGGGTAACGGCACTGAAACAACCGACACTTTCAGAGACTTTGAAAAGGAAAGAGAAACTGCCCCAGAAAAAAACAACAGCCAAGACAGCTGAATTCATCTCGTTCGATGACCAGCCGTTATCTGTTACCTTTTCTCTTAATGCATTGCATAAAGATCGGGAAAAATCGGCAGATTGTCAAAATCAAATGATCGGAAGCAAAAAAAGGTGATCGGGACATCCCTAATTCTGACAACACCTGAGTGATTTGGATCCTCTCCAAAACATGCTATTCTTCAGCCCAGAATACACCCGCCTAACAAGTTTGTGCTGACGGCTAAACAACAACAGTTTGGCTGCGGTACTTAATCCAGACAATAGCGAAAGATGAATCAATATTGAAATTCAAATTCGGCTTTATATGCAAACAATCCTGCTATAACTAAACTGCCTCGCTCCAATTGGAACCGTGTTGTCCAATTCCACCAAAAAGCTAAAAGTTTAATCAGCCCACAAACCTCTGGCTCTTTAATCAATGTCATCTTATATTTGGGAGAGTAAATATTCAAATACATTGCCGCATAGTTATGGTTTGACACCAGAAGTTAATGTTGGGGATGTTTGTTGCGACAGCCCTGACTTGTGGTTAACACGGTTTCACTGCTCACCAAACCGTTCCAGACCGCTACGGCTAAATTCCCCCCGTCAAGACAGAAATGCTTCAATAAAAGATTAGCTATCAATCACAGTGGCTCCTCGTGTATTGTCATCTGTTATGCCTCGCTTTCCATTTCACAGCTACCCCTAAATAACCTCCATATAGATAGCAAAGATGCCCCGCATGTGGCAACACTCAGATGAAACTGAATATCCTGGGATAGAATAAATAACATAAACCCATCTTTACAAACTAGTGTTGTGTAGCCAGGCATTGTTCAAACCCACAGCATTTAAGATGCAATTCTAGTGGGGGAGCCAAGGTTTACAAACATATCAAATATGCCAAAATGTGTATAAAATGATGCACTGAAAATATTTCCATCTGATATAAAGTTGCAAAAATCAAGGCTTTGAATATGACATGTCATACAAATGGAGAAGTGGGGAAATTCGGGGTGGAATAAAGACTTGAGATCAAAAGCATCCGCACAAGTAGGGGAAAACACTAGTAGATAGTAGTCGAAATGACAGTATAACAATTCAAAGTATTTAAACTATGTAGACATGGATTGCCCTTTTAATAACAAGCACTTCTAGGAACATTACGTAACCACATATTTTAAACTCCATTAATAGCTATGCCTCGGTAGTAACTAGCTAGTCAAAAGTTATTAAGGAAAGTGCTACAAAAGAGAATGGAAAAGGGAAATGGTTTCGACAAAAGATATTTATAAAAAAGATTTGAAGAAGGGACAGTAAGAAAGCAAGATGGAGGTGTCTTTCCAAGGGGAAGGAGAAGTGAGAGACAGTGACCAGCTCAACTTCCTACGAAAGAGTAGCGTGCAGACACATAATGACTACAACCCGCAGTACAGTGTGTACAAAAGGAACATCCAAAACATTCAATACAAAACCAACAAGAGGGAGATGAAGACAAGAGGGAGTGCAAACTGGGAAATCAATGCTCCATTTCATCAGATTTCATCAGACAGGAAGTTAGGGTACTGGGCATTTCAATACTAACTGAAGCACATTCATATGCTGCATGAAAAGTAGCACAAGTGATGACAAAGCAGCCGTGCATCTAAGCAACCAAAAACAAACATCTGCAGCCGATGCAACCCAGGCAGATTTGTCGTGTAGACGGTTGCTGTTTACCTGCCCGTTACAATCAACTAACACGTTATTTAGGTCACATGCATCATGCAGGTAAAACAAGCGAGAGGAGCTGAACAAACAACACGGGGGCCAACAACCACCAAAATGTGCTCAAGAGAAAAAGAGGTGGAAGGAAGGTATACATTTAAAAAAAGGAAATGCGGCCAAAGTGAGACAAATGACAGCACTACAGGGGGGTGTGTGTGTGTGTGTGTGTGTGTGTGTGTGTGTGTGTGTGTGTGTGTGTGTGTGTGTGTGTGTGTGTGTGTGTGACGAGGGGCTAGGTTAAGCTAGGCTAGCAGAGCAGACGGGCATCTGTCCCGTACATCTGCCACAGCGTCTACAGCAGAGTGGTCCTGTCACAAGACCCCCGGTGAACGAACACGCACATGGGGGGGCATACTAATACACACGCACTGTGTGAAATATCTGAATTAAGATGATGTAATTAGCGTGCGCCCTTGCGAATCACCAAAGGTAGGTTACACACATCCGTAGTTTCAGGCTTGGGTTGAGAAACATTAACACTCCTTTTTGAATCGTCTCTCCCATTTGTGAGTCTGGGAGCGTAGTGACCTACAGACAAGTGCTTTTTCAACGTCTGATGTGTGACCTCCAGAAGGCCCTGGTGAGCCTCTAAAATAGTGACAGGAAGTAGTTTGCTAAAACGACAAGATCTAGAAAAAACTTGAGCAAGAAACAAGGAAACAGTTTAACAGCCTCCAGCATCAACAAGGGGAAAACTAATGTTTATTGTTTGTGTACGAGGAGCGCCGAATGGAAAAGGGAAATTATTATTACAGGAGGAAACATTTTAAAGAGTGCGACTGCAGACCAAACAACAGCCTGGGACAAATTAGCGATCGTCGGGGTTTGATTTTAGAGTGAATTGTGTTCTTTTTGACATAGAAGAGGATGAATAACGCCGTCTTTTTTCTTCTATTGAGCGTTTCCATGTGAGGCGATGGATTCTGCAGAGCTGTTGTTTGGGAGAATAAGCCCTTGAAGGGGCGGCTCCCCCTCACAGAGGAGGCAGCTTATCCAGCCTGTACGCTCATGTGTTGTGTCTGTTTGTGTGTGTGTATCTGTCTGAATCCAAGACGTGCGGCTGTGTGTGTGTGTGTGTGTGTGTGTGTGTGTGTGTGTGCGCGTGTGTGTTCCAGTGCGTGTGTCATGTATTGTATTTCCAGTCGAGTAGCCTTCCTAAAAAGCCCCTGCAGGACGGGGCTGTATTTTAGCTGTCTGTGCGGCTGCCTGAGAGAAAATAAGTGGTGACACGAGGAGCCAGAGACAAACACGAAGAAAGCGACACATGTTGTGTTTTAAAGCTTTAGGCCGCTGGGTAAAGAGTGTTTTGTGTCAGTCATATTTCTGGCCATCCAAACCATCACACAGACGGAGGGGCCGATGCAAGCCAGCGCACTGGCAGCACATGAATGAAGAGGGGGGACACATCAAAAGGTGCTGGGGCCCTTTTTCCCCAAACCCATGCTCGGCTGTTCCAGGCCATACGCAACCCTTCAATTTCCCCGCTGAGTGCCACTCGCAACACACACACACACACACACACACACACACACACACACACAACACACACACCACACACACACACACACACACACACACACACACACACACACACACACACACACACACACACACACACACACACACACACACACACACACACACACACATCACCACACACACACACACACACACACACACACACACTACACGACACACCACACATCAACACACACACACACACACACACACACACACACACCCACACACACACACACAACACACACACACACACACACACACACACACACACACACACACACACACACACACACATCACACACACACACACACACACACACACACACACACACACACAGAGAGAGAGAGAAGCACGCCACAACATCCATCAACGTTATGTTTTTCGAGCAAATGCAGCCTCAAAATGGACTTGGAGCAAAACATAAGAGAAGCCACAATAATCAAAAACTTGCTGTGCTGCTACACTGAAGGCCAAAGTACAGAGCGCACGATTTAAATGCAAGTCTCAGAAAAGATTATATTATATATATAAATATATAAATTATTGTTCTCTGGCTTATTTACTGAGGTATTTAAAACACACGCCAAATTAAAAGCACGTCTTAGAGTGAAAACGCGGAGAGGAGAGTGAACGGCGAGTTAGCGGCAGACAGGGAGAGACAAATAATTACACATGGCGCTCTCCAAGAGGAACGTGGACAGTGAGAACAGAGCTTTGAACCCTGAGTGGACTCATTCATGTTCCTCCTGCCACTGGCATCACAGAACCAGTGTGTCTCATTTGTTCAGAGACCGTGGCGCTCATTAAAAGTGCCAAAACGCCACTATGAGACAAAACACTAAGTGTTTGACCAAACATTCCCTCTCAAGTCAGAACTGAGCTCACACAAAATAAGCAGTCTCAGAGCCCGATATGATCAGTCCACCAGGATCAAAATTGAAACTAAATATCGTTCCAGGCTAACCAATGAGCACCTGCATATATCTGTATAGCTCAATGTTAATTGACAATAAATAGTTGTTTTTGAATTGTACTTTCTTTATTTGATTGGCAGTCAGTTGTTAATTACATGCAGACGTTGATAAAGCTACAGCTACTTCAATATATACATCACACTAATTCATAAAGCAACTTAGACCTTTTGATGTTCCGGACCTTTGCATGGGGACATTTTCTCTAACTGGACCTCGTTGAATTTGAGTTGAAGACCCCTGATCTAGTGTGGTCTATAGGTTATTGTGCATGTAAATGGTCTGCAAAGGCTCAAATACCAAAGTTCCCTCCATAAAGAGTTGCTCTCAATTGTAATGTAATTGTTTACTTCCATTACATAGTGACATCACTGTGTGACACTCGCGCTACAATTGGCCAAAGCTCTAACACATTGTACTCGATAGGCTAAGGGGCGGGAGATCTCTAAGCGGCTGACCGATCACAACAGAGCCGGCCAGCTAACCAATCAGAGCAGACTGGGCTCTGGTTTTCAGACAGAGGGTGAACAAAAGTAGTACGAGACCTTTTTGAACATTGTCAACTTGTCACAGTAGAGCCACTAAATTCTAATATCAACCCGAAAATGAGCAGACTAGGGCCCCTTTAATCTGTAGACCTATACATGTTGCTTTGGTAAGCAGCCGTTCTTATGGAAACAACATGAAGCCAATGGACACTATATTTATTCTGTGCTCATTACAGATGCAGTTCTAACTTAGTCCTCATCACCCCCAGACATGAGCTCATCAGTGCAACACTGACTGGTAAGCAAACAGGGGTTATTTTCCCCGATAAGGGCATATGTTTTATTATCAGAAGTTATTCAGATTTAATGGTAATTGTACCCCTTAGCAGGTTTATGTCGTTTCTTTTACATCCCTTACATGTACTGCTTTTAAGGGTTTTTATGAATCTAAGAGAATTCATGTTAGAGTGTGGAAGAAGTGTTGTTCCGGATTTAGTGCAAACACACATGTTTACAGTCAACATACAAATACTACGACAACAAAGGGTGTTAAGGGAACAATGTTTTTACCTTGTTAGGCGCAGTGGCTGAGGGCGCTCCCCGAACTTCCTGCAAAGACACAAAGAGAGAAGAAACATGAGTGTGCTGGTTATCAACCACAAACACGCACACAGAGTAAACACAGCATTACCCAATGGTGCACACACACATACACACTTGTCGCTGTGGCCTTGTCAGTGCTCGAATAAAAAGACGTGTCTGCAGGCAGGCAGGTTAAAGCAGGTGTTCAGACGGTGAGAAAACTCCTGCCACTGGCACGTTAAAACAGGTTGAGCATCAACTCGGAAAGCTCCTCGTGTTTCATGTGCAAAAGTGGAATAACCCGCAATTTCTCGCGGTCTATGAAACCGTACGATAAAGGCGTGGGAGACTGAGATAAAACAACACGTATCTTGGTTATTGAGGTTTTTATAACCTTCAGCTTTAGAAGTCTATGGATGATAAAGACCTCATTTTTGACCATAAGGTGATAATAAATCCAATAGAAAATACAACAAACCGATAACAGCGCCAGCTTTCAGGCTTTATGTGCTGCTGATCTGAATTGTAAAAATGCATCCGACTTGATCATTTCCCGCCGCCGCTTCCAGTTCAATGTTTTCAGATTTCACTTGGTCTGAGGCAACCAGCAGCATTTTGAGAAGTAGACACCTTCGGGGAGCACAAATATTTCAGTATTCTATGTACGACATACTGCTTTAAAAACGGGCAGTGGGTGGGACAAATCTCTCTTTTTACACGGCGAGTGGTTGATTTACATTTGAATGCAAATACACAGCAACGGGTGCCAAAATATACAAATTGAATACAATTATTAAAAGTGGCGAAACCAGAGCGGGGTTGTTGAACTCGACACTGAATGTATCTCGAAAATGAGACGAAAAACACCTCTTCCATTATTTCTGAAAGCATTGTATAATGTGAGAAACAGATTTGGTCGAATATTAATATATAAAATACTGCCCGGAACAATTGTGCTGTTTTCTAAATGATTCTGTCCATGGTGTACAGCTTGGACATGACATACAGGAAACTGACCATCTTTCCGCTTATTGAAATCCACCTGTTTGACCGTCAAAGTGTTTGTAATACCCAGACAAAGAAAAACAAAGAGCGGATTTATGTCATGTCAATTCAAAAGTATGAGAATGACACGCACATAAAAGCCCTTTTTGAGTCTTCAACTCTCAATTCTGGATCTTCATGACATTACCGTCAAGAAGTCATTCATTTCCACTCTAATGACAGCACCACTAACCTTCACTCACTATAAAGACTGTTCCTTCAAGTGCAGTCGACCTTGCCGATGCATCAGACTTACAACAGGCCGAATTTTTTTTTTGCCGTGATTGAGTCATAGCAAAAATTCTTAGTCATAGATTGCATGTAGCAAGGAAACCGCTGCCAACATCACATTTAGAGACAAAGGGCCGTGAACTTGCAAAAAAAAAAGGACAGCTGAGTTCTCGTCAACTTGTGACTCGTTCAACCTGTTTCAAGAGTAGGGTCTTAAAAACACAGGAAACGCAAGGACTTGTTTTTCTTTAAAAATGTCTCATAATTGATTCGTCGACAGGGTTCATCTCGTGGAAATACAGTATCTAGACCAGGGGTGGGGAACCTTTTTCCTCTCAAGGGCCATTTCAATGTTTTCAACATCCTCCGAGGGCCGTACAAATTATTGACCTCTGCTTAAAAATACTAAAATCACAGCCCATTAATTTCACCTTTCTTTCATGCTGTGCAAAGAACAAGCAACCTCTTAATCCAGATATCTTACCATGACTCACGCATGCACGTGCACGGTGTGGCATGACCACCAAAACAGAAAGATATAGACACAAGATGTGTGCAAATGTATTTAGACTCCTGTGAACATGATTTAAGTGGGGGGGGGGCCTAACCTCCTCTAGGGGGGTCCGGGGGCATGCTCCCCCGGGAAGATTTGTTTTTAAATGTTGAAGTTAAAAGCATCAATCTGGTGCACTTTGAGAGCAACATTAGGAGATCTATGGAAACATCTCTCAACACCCAGATGAAACAGAACTGGAAGCAGATTTTCTTTTTCTTTATGGATATTTGACAAATCACTCTCCTTTCAAACTGTATTCTTGTTTATTAATAACAACTTTTTTTTACTGTCATATAGTATTTTATACCTGTTTACTTTATTCTCTTATTTGTTTTATAACTATAATGATCATATGAAGATGTGCCTTTACCTCACTGGTTGTAGAAAAAGCTTCTTATATTCGTTAGCATAGCTAGCTAACCAGATGCTAATAACAACAAAGTTATTGACTGTATGATCAGTATGACGGATGAACGGATCGCCACTGGGCTTTCATCTAAAACACAGCCACGCAGAAACTGCGGCATGTGTACGGCTCCTTATGGCTACTGCAATTTTTGGAAGTGCCGGAGCGGCGTTCTGGTGCTCTCCGTCAGAACTACACCCCTGTCAGACGAGACATGTACCACGTGATGACACGTTAGGCTTGTGTTGTGTTCAAGGACCCTGACCTTGGCCAGGAAAAACAGGCACTCACTTGTTTAATTATTTTGCGGTCTAGATTTCTTTTTTTTGGCATGTGTTTATAAATTACCTCGAGGGCCACACCAAATGGTCTCGCGGGCCGTATACGGCCCGGGGGCCGGAGGTTCCCCACCCCTGATCTAGATCATTCAGCTTTTTAAAACTGCTGCTTTTAACTTCGGTTCACTTTCTCATCATAAAGGGTTCAAACCTCTACACACACTTGACTATTTGGTCATTCATCAACAAGGTCAGTTTGCTTTACTGTAAATTATGAGTCAATTCAGTGAAACCAAAATATGACTATATTCCATTGTTGGTACAAAGTGAAGTAAGTACCAGAAATGCTGCTACGTTTTTTATTTATTAGTGACACACAGACTCGAGAAAAATATGATTAGGGCAGCAATTACAGCAATATCATTTTCATCCCAATGAAATCAATGACAATCATCACATTTAACGAGCCAAAAACAGCCTTTGTTGGCATTTTTCTTTCCCTTTCGATCAATAAATCTTTGCAGCTGTAAATCCTGCCCTGTCAAGCGCTCATTAGAATCCTTCTAGACGTGTATCGCTAGAGCTTGATAAAAACACACTGGGGTGAAGGTCCTCCCCACAGCGATCAATCAGCCTCTCGCTGCAGCAAAAACTAAGTATAGGAGGAGGAGTGCGTTTCACTGCAGATATGTGACCATGCTCGCTCACAGACGACACATTCTTCAGCCCCACTGTCATGTTCCTGAAGTGCACAAAGCTAAGTATTCAACACTGGAAATATTTGCTTTCATGTTACCGACCGGATACATGCAAATGTTTGTATTGTCTTCATTGTAACGGCAATGCACCATCGGAATAGGTTTTCAATCTTTATTAACAAAAACAATCAGCATCCAGACTCTAACCCTACATTTCTAACGCTCCGATACGTACCACCGGCCTATATTACGGCACTATAGAGTGGAGCAGGAATGAGTCCTAAACCCGGCCATGAGTTAGCATTTTAGCACTTCCGTGACACTTTTCTTGAATATAATGTTTTGTTTTTAATTGAGTTGAAGCGTTGATGCCTGTGGTTAATACAAGCTTAAGAATTGTTTTTATTTTACCACATAAAATACATAAGCAAATACTCCACTGGCGACATTTGAATCTACTAAACGTCATGACGCCCTACTTTAGCCGCCTTTAGCTTAGCGATGGTGAGTTGCAAGTCATGCGACCATCATGTGGTTCATTTAAAAATGTACTTTTAATGCTGCTTGCTTTTACAACTATCATAAAAGTGGTTTTAAGATGTGGGGATTATCCTGCTGAACGATAAAGTATCACCGAATATGTTTTTTGCAATAGTCCCAGAATCAAAGGGGAACTCCCATTCCTGTTCGTCGAGGAAGCCCCTGCGATGCCAACTTGTTACCTACGTCATCACTGCACCACTATAACATGCGTATTATAGGAGATGGGTGCCACAAAAAGGGATGTGCAGCACGTGGTGATGACTTTGAAAGAGGTGTGTGTGTGTGTGTGTGTGTGTGTGTGTGTGTGTGTGTGTGTGTGTGTGTGTGTGTGTGTGTGTGTGTGTGTGTGTGTGTGTGTGTGTGTGTGAAACAGACAAAGTGTAAGTGAGTCAGATTTTCTCCTCGTGTAGGATGTGGGAGCCGCTGATAAGTATGTCAATACATTTTACACGACATCGATAAACACGCACTGGGGCTGGTTAGATGTTGTGGCACGCAGGCACTGGGTGCATTTGAAAAAAGACAAACAGGGGGAAGAAAATAGCAGCAAAGAAAAAGCAAAGAGGAGATAAAAGGCAGAGAAACTGAAAGCGTGATTGGTGCAAGAGGCAGAAGGAGGGAGGGGAGGTGGAGTAATGAGAAAGGAGGGCAATCAATAAGGTTCCCACAGTGAAACTAGGATGCCTCAACTGGCTAATGGATTCCAGACGGACCTTCTCCCTCCCTTATACGCTCCCCTTCTAAGCCTCACCCCCCCACCACCCCTCCACTGCACACAGGGAGGAAAGGATACTGCGGGGAAAGATTCAAGGAAAGGAGAAGTGGATGGTGTGTTGTCGAGAGGGACACACAGAAAACATTCAGGTCACTCGCGATTTTTAAACGATTATTTAAAAAAAAAGATCAAACGAAAATCCATTAAGATCTAAATGTATTTTTACGTTTATCAACGTCCCTAATCTCAACCAGGCTCAACTGCTTTATATTGTGGACAGTGACGCGTGTTTCAATGTGAAGACGTGATGTGTAAAAGGTGAAGGAGGTCAGGAGTGTTGCAAGTTCTGTGAAAAACCACTGTTTCGCATCACCTCCACGGCTCTTCGCTTTACTCAAAACACGAAAGAACCAAAAAGCACCGGAAACCACAAAAGGTAGAGTCGCAAAGACACACAAGAAAGACTGTTGCATCTGCAGGTTGGGCTTTGCTCCGTGACAGGGCTTGGCAAAGTTCAACAAAGTACAGATTCTTTCATTACAGTAAAGACCATTGT